CTAATACACAGCTTTGTACCTTACATTGAGGTTGTGGCTTAGTTCTTGATAATTCACATTAATTACTGGGGTCAAGTCCAACAAAAGTTTAAAGCAGCAACAGGAATCCTTCATAGTTCTATGCTTCAGTAGTTGTGTCAAGGATAGTTTCTCCTCTTCAGGTAAACTGTCCTGTATTCACATGTAGCACTGCATTTCCTTACCTTCTGTTAGACATACTGTCTGTGGTTTGTAGAGTATTTTGTGGAATCCTGTGGGGTAGAAATTGAAAGCCTAATAAGTCTTATATTGTAAATTACTTAGTAAAATTTTGGCAGGGAGTGGGGGGAAAGGATGGGTATGTATATAGACATACATACATATATATTTCCCACAAGCTAACTCTAGATATGTGTGCATATTCTGGTGTTTCTAATGAAACTAAGTATTTATTTGCTTTGTATAACTGATTTTTTAAATCTTGTAAGATTCAATTTGCCTTCCATTGCATCAGAGACTTAATAGTAATTTTCTGATGAGAAGTTCCTGGGCAGTTTGCATTGAAGTGTCAGTTCATCACTCAGGCGTAGTGAGAGTTGATTGCCAGCTTTTAATGGACATTCTGACTATAATATATTTTCACAAGCCAGCTACCTCTGCACTAATATGGAATGCCCTGTGGGACACAAGGAAAACTGACCCTTCACTGGAGAGAGAGAAGAAAAAAAAATTAGAAAAAAAAGAAAAAAAAAGAATAGAGGTCCTTAGTTTCAGAGGACCTGAACCTTTCAGTGTTGGACTTGGATGAGAGGCTGGTTCTAGCATAATCATCGTGTTTTATAACAGCTGGGACATAAGAGGAGCATGTATTTGCTGTTAGTCGATTCTAAACTTTGATTCCTGGAATGGATTGTAGGGGAGATTGCACATTTTCTTTTCATAAAAAAAGGCAAAATAATAGCCACAGATTGTTTTTAAAGTCAGTGGATTAGGTATGCTATGTAGATTCTGACATCATGGGGAGGTTCAGCAGTATCAGCTTTAGCTTAGCTTATGTCAGTATTCCCTGTTCAAAACTCCACATATGGAGCCGAAACAGAGACAAGCCAGTGTCCTTTGCACAGCTGACATCAGTATTACTGTTGTAATTTAAAATACAAGAAAATACTCCATCTTCACTATGCATTTTTTCAAAACGATTATGGGATAACCATTTTTAATTTACTTCATTCAGTCCAGAAATAATAACTAACTAGATCTTTTGTATTGAGACTTGGAGCATCAGTATTGTGGATGTGAAAAAGACCGTCCTTCTTCCTGGGACACAGAGTTCTCTGAATCTGCTCATTGGAATAATTTCACCAACATCTCAAAAGCCTACTCAGTTTCTATGGAAGCCAGACAGTATTCAATGACCATAGTACTTAATCTTTTTTACTACATTGTGCAATCGGAAAAGGGAAGCTTAAGTTACTGCGTTTATGTATTTATTTAATATAATGAAACTTTTATAACTACTAGTTTTGTTCTTGGTTTTTGTTGAATTAAATAAAAAATTATGATGGTGGAAAAGTATAAGCCAAACAGTAATACCACAGTATAATATTGCAGTTAATGTTAGAACAACATTCATACAGTCATTCATATAGTCATATTCCTACTCTTTTTTTTTTTTAATTTTCTTTTTAAACTCAGTGTATCTAGGAAATACATAACAGATACTTTTTTTTTTAAATTGTTCTATCTTGTAAATGGAGAGCTAAATGATTTTTATTACAATATCTTGTGTACATGATAAATGTACCCGACATCTGGAGAGAATATGAATCATTGGAGTGGTCTGAATAATACTGAGAGCTTTCAGAAGTAACTGGAAAATAAAACTTTAATTGCTTTATATATTAAAAAAAAAAAAAAGAAAAGGTTGTAATCTGGAAACATTTTACAGAGTATTACCTGGAAAAAAGACTTCTGGTTTTGAAAAGTAGTTTTGGAAATGTATTCTCTCAGAGCTGCAGTGTATTTGTTGTGCACAAAGTAGCAGCACCAAAGCCACATTCTTTAAGCTCCTTAAACTGGTTCTTAGTTGATGGCTTGATGCCCCTTTATTCTGACTGATGGGTATATTCTTGATCTAAGGGAAATGACCTTAGAAACAGCCTTGTCTTTTGGGGAGGATCCCAATATTCAGTTTTGAAATAGTACTGCTTGAAACTGTTCTCAGACAGATCACATCTGGCCTGCTGTGAAAAATATCTCTCAAATGCAGGACATTTATAGAGTGTTCTCCGAGTGTGCTTGTTACTGTCATTTCTTCTACAACCTCAAGAGCTTACTCATTTGCCATGTAAGGATGTCAGACAGTTAAATAGTGTGCTTCTAATTACTATAGAATGTTTCATACAGAATTCAGGCCATTGAGACAGAAGAATTAAGTTGTGGCCTTTTCTCCAAAAATTGCAATTGCCTTCCCCAGCTGCAGATCATATAGACAGGGAATGGCATGTCTGTCAGCCAAGAGGCATGGAAGCTGAAGCCTTAAAATTGAGTGCTTGAAATTGAAAGTTCAGTCAGTGCCGACATTGTCTTTCACTCTCCCTTACACGTGTAGGCAGTAAAAGAGCCTTAATGCAGGTCATCTTATATAGTATTCTGCAAATCATTAGCACAACTGGAAGGTTGAATTTCATCCCATTGTGTTTCCTTGCTATCAAACGTTTAAATCTGGCACCTTTATTTTACTGTAATTCTGATTTCATGAAGACTTTGTGTGAGAGACTTGCTGCTTCTTGGGTTTTGTGTGTACTGCAAAAGAAATCAGAATATGAAATGTGTTAGATACATTAGGTGAGCATTTTCTTCCAACTGTCTCCCCTCTAGTATAATATTATGTATCCAAAAGTCATAAGAATCTGATGTCTACATTTAACTTCAGTCATGTTTTTTCTTACTGATTTGATTTGAAGATTTCACATGTATTTGAATGTATAGGTAGTTCTTCAACTGCTAAAGGTTTTTTAAAATACTATGTTACATAGCTCTGAGGAGGCAGGAGTTGAGAGTTGCTTCTTGTTTTAAAACCTGATTTAATGCCTTCCTAAAAGTCCTTAAAAAGGTTATTTAATTTGTTGTTATCGATGGTCAGGGAAGCAGTTGTTTGGAGATTCGGGATGATTTGTATGAACTGTATTTCTGATATACAAGAAAAAACAAGTGTCTTGGTCAGAAAATTATTCTAGTTTTGATAGACGTATATTATGGTCTGAAAATTCATCCATTTTTTTACAAGAGTGTATTAATAAGTATCCAGATAAAATGTAGGGAAGTCTCATATATAAGGCTGGAGGAATTTAGGAATAAAGTTCTTTGCTGGAAGAAATTCAAATATTAAAAAGGAATAAAATTAGATTTAGTGTAAATGGAAGTTTCTCTCATAACTACATTCATGCCATGGATCAGAAGGAAAAAAAAAAAGCAAATGCTCGGTTTAATACTTCTTCCTTGTTCTTTGTGCTAGGGGGATTTATAATTTTACTCTTTGCAATGCTAACAGCTTGGAAATATGAGAGGATATCAAAAGTTAAGAAATCACGATGCTTCATTAATGGTCTTCCTCTGCCTTTGCATCCTCATTGCACTGGAGCAGGCAATTCCATATTGCTGCATGGGCAGGATGTGGGGCAGTGCGTCCTGGGCAGAGGCAGACAAGGAATTAAAATGTTAGATGCAACTTACAAGCTGTTGCTAGAGAGTATAAAGCTCCTTAGTTATTTTTATTAAAAGCATCTTGAATGAGCCAGCCCACAATTCATAAACTGCTGTGTAATCTCTGGTATCCTTTGCCAGAGGCTGGCCAGCTGCCTGTCTCCTGGTCCCTGAATCCCTACTGATCTGCAGGTTTGTAACTGCTGCTTTCACATCTTCCTCCTAGCCAAACAATTTTGGGCCTCCGTTTAAAAAGCAGCAAACCAAAGTGATAACCATATTTTAATAGCCATAGATGGTGTAAAGCAGTAGTAGAAGATGAAGGAAGATACTGGCCATAGTACGCGGAAATGCATTATTTAGGTCCAAGGAAGCCTTTCCACCTTGCGCAATCCAGTTAGCAAATATACAATACGGAAAGTTTTGTCTACTATTTGAATTTGTAGCTGCATAGGAAAGGAGGTACACTGCTTGCTTTGATAATAGGATTCTGAAATAAAGTTATTTGACATGTTCCTTCACAACATTAAACTGTGATACTCCTCTGTGAGCCCCTCTGAACTAGTCTAAGGTGAATGCAATGCGCAGAACTATTGTTTCTAGCTCTCTCCAGAGCTAGACCCAGTGTCACTACTTTGATTGCAGTATTGTTTCAATCTCTTGCTTTTACTGAAAGCATAGCAACTGAAAATTTTTAATACATGCTTCCCCTGTACAACAACATAGACTAGAGAAAAAGGCAAGGTATCAAGCTGCTTTTTTTTATGTTAGGAAGAGATCAGTATTCAGGCTTTGCTTTCAGAGCTTTCCTAATCCACCAATTCCCTTATGTTGGAAGCACAGAGAAGCAACACAAGAGCTTTGCAGTTCTCTCTGTGCTGGGATAGGAGTACCTTCTTTAAGTAGTCTGATTTTGCCCAGGCCTTGTTCCTTCTGTATTCAGGAACTGCTGTCACTGCAGCATAAACTGAATGCATTACACTTACAACCATAGCCCCTGGCACTTGTGTAACCTATATAATTGGTTCTAAGTACATTTGCTTAATTTTTATGTATTGATAGTCTACATTTATAGTAAGTACACTTTCATTATATTGTGACTAGATAACTTCTAGTTAATGTACTTCAGGCATTGTGACATTTTTCATTTCTGCCATACCTGATGGCTTTCCTTTTTGTATTCCCGTTTGTTAAGAGTCTGGCTTAGTTCATTGACATTTCTTTAAAAAATGTAAACCTGCAAATCTATTTATTACAATGAATCATTTCCAAAAAGTACTAAAAGCATTAACAATTCTTTTCTCTTTTTCTGCAAGTGGTCTTACACTTTAGAGAAACCAAACACTGGCAGCATATATAATATTGCTTGGTCTATTGATGGCACTCAACTAGCCGGCGCATGTGGTAATGGACATGTCATTTTTGCCCATGTTGTGGAGCAGCACTGGGAGTGGAAGAACTTTGAAATAACTTTAATTAAGAGGAGAACCATGGAGGTAATCTTTATAGTTCAGAGCTGTGCATTCTCATTATTTGCTTTCTAAGGCTTTTTTTAATACAAAATGGGTATTTTTAATCCTTGACATAACATTATGCTTTTTTTCCCCTGTGTATATATGACTGAAAGCATTTAAGATCATAAAATGGCTAGATTTAGCAAATGGTATAAATAATTATAGTTGTACAGAAGATCAGATCCATGTAAACTAAACCATACCCACCAGATGGACCAGGATTACATAACTCAGAAGTACTCTATCCTCTAGAAAAACACAAAGCTCATTTGAAGAGCATGTGAAATTAGCTGTGAGAGGCCACTTACAAGAGAGAACATTTCAAGTGTAATGAAGATGTTTATGCTGAAAAAAATACAAATACATCGGCAAACCCAAAGCATCATATTAAATAGTATTACAGTAACTGTCAGCAAAGGTGAAGCTGCATAACTAGGTTTGGATAATACAGAGTAGTTTATTTAATCTGAATTCATGAGTTGTTTGAAGCACTGATGCATTTTGTGGTAGCTAATACTTTAGTAAGGTTTACAGTATACCTGTTGCTAATGAGCTACGATGAATTTTGCTATCTTAGGGCATTTCCAGATAAATTTGGTGGCTGACTATAACTGTAAAGAGTTGTAATGTGCTTTTCTGCACCACATACTGTATTACAGCCTAGAATCAGATCTCTCAAAGCTACAGAAATTTGTCATCATATAATATACATCAGGTACCTGCATGGTGCTTCCAGCTGAGTACTGAGCAACAGGCATTGACCTCAGTGGGAGCTGCCAAGTCTCAGCACTGCTGGAAATGAAACAGTCCCCTACATGTGGTTTCTGGAGCTTAAGTTTAGGATCCTTCTTTTGAAAAATCATGGCCTGAATCCACATTTAGGTTACCAAATATCTGGGAATTAATACAAAAATATGAATTTTTACCTTCTAATTCACCCTCTGTGTTCTCAGACACTGACTCACAACATTGACTTTCTGAACATGGGGATAATATTTCCATTCTTACAGATTTTCCAGATTACACATTCAGCATTGGATACTTGGCCAATATTTTAAATATCTAAGTCAAGTTCTTAAATTCCTAATTAGGCCCTTAAATGTTTTTTGGAGTCTTGATTCTTTTAATCTTGACTATGTAACTGGGAAAAGTTGTAAACAGAAATGCTGTATTGCAGTTTGATCCAGTGGGTGGGTTAACATGAGTCAGTGTCTGGGAACACAGAAGACGAATTAGCAGGTAGAAATTCATATTTCTTCTTTCATTCCCAGACATCGACTCGTAAGAGATGGGCTCTGTGAATAATCTCCAGGGTGTTTGAATATGCAAACAACTGAGGAAGTATAGCTGACCCTTATTCAGGACTAATTTTTTATTTTATTATTTTATAATAAGTGTTTATAAATATAATGAAGGAAAATATTACCTACAAAATTGTTCAGGATACATTCCTTCTTTCTGAGTACTACAATAGCTAAGTTAATTATGGGCATACTGCTGCAGTGGACATAGAAATTAATATGCCTTTGGAAATAGTTTCTAGGCTTTCATAATAATTGAGTTCAGTCCTTGTTTTGCAATTCATTGCATAATGGAGAAAATGGAAAAGAAGCTACCACATTCAGAATGGTGACATCTTAAGAAAACTCCAACCACATACCCAACAAAATAAACCCCAAATAAACAACCAACCATCCTCCCTGTCATACAGTATCTCCTTAGAGTTCAGCTGCCTAAAATCTTCACGCTCAAAAAAACTTTGTCAGTTACAGGCAGACTATGATTTTCTTGAAACATTGTTTGAGTAAATTTTCACAGTAATGGCAAAGGTACAGCCTGTTAGAATCATAGAACCATAGAATAGTTAGGATTGGAAAGGACCTTAAGATCATCAAGTTCCAACCCCTCTGCCATGGGCAGGGACACCTCACACTAAACCATGACACCCAAGGCCTCGTCCAGCCTGCTCCTGAACACTGCCAGGGATGGAGCATTCACAGCTTCCCCTGGGCAACCCATTCCAGTGTCTCACCACCCTAACAGGAAAGAATTTCCTCCTTATATCCAATCTAAACTTCCCCTGTTTAAGTTTGACCCCATCACCCCTTGTCCTATCACTACAGTCCCTAATGAAGAGTCCCTCCCCAGTATGCCTCTAGGACGCCCTTAAATACTGGAAGGCTGCTATGAGGTCTCCATGCAGCCTTCTCTTTTCCAGGCTGAACAGCCCCAACTTTCTCAGCCTGTCTTCATACGGGAGGTGCTCCAGTCCCCTGATCTTTGTGGCCCTCCTTTGGACTTGTTCCAGCAGTTTCATGTCCTTTTTATGTTGAGGTCACCAGAACTGCACACAATACTCCAGGTGACGTCTCACAGGAGCAGAGTAGAGGGGCAGGATCACCTCATTCAACCTGCTGGTCACGCTCCTTTTGATGCAGCCCAGGATACGGTTGGCTTTCTGGGCTGCGAGCACACACTGAAGCTGGCTCATGTTCATTTTCTCATTGACCGGCACCCCCAAGTCCTTCTCCGCAGGGCTGCTCTGAATCTCTTCTCTGCCCAACCTGTAGCTGTGCCTGGGATTGCTCTGACCCAGGTGTAGGACCTTGCACTTGGCATGGTTAAACTTCATAAGGTTGTCATCAGCCCACCTCACAAGCGCGTCAGGGTCCCTCTGGATGGCATTCCTTCCCTCCAGCGTATCAGCCGAACCACACAGCTTGGTGTCATCAGCAAACTTGCTGAGGGCACACTCAATCCCACTGTCCATGTCAGTGACAAAGATGTTGCGTAAGACTGGTCCCAACACTGATCCCTGAGGGACACCACTCGTTACTGGTCACCAAGGCCATCTCCTAAATTTCCCTTACTTCAGAGTGTGGTACCATTAAAATACGTGCTAGAGTTATTCAACATCTAGGTAATGTATCTATCCAAATCTTGGATGTTGCTGAATTGTTTTGATGGGATCACTGCAATATTATATTTCAAATATTTAGATAGTCAGCAACTGAACTGAACACTGAGTCTTAAAATGGGAATTTTCACACTTCCCTGATCTCAGATGGTTTTCTCAACCGCATGTGTAGTATTCTGCTTATACCTTATGTATTCCAAATACATGTTAATTACTGCTTTCTTTTAAGGAACTCCATCCAGTTCTTCATTGTTTATTCAGAGTTTATAGAACCTTTGAGTTTTCACCACTGCTGTGAAAGTGGCTGTTCCTACATAGATATGTTCTGCTAATGGCATGGTAGTACCAGCATGTACTTTTAATAAGACAGAAAATGGTATTTCACTAGTTAGTTTTCATTTCAGTTATTGTCATTTTATTCAGCCACAGTTTTCTTTTGATTAGGTGCACAATGTCATTAATGATGCAGTAGATCTATTGGAATTTCGTGACAGAGTTATTAAGGCCTCTTTGAACTATGGGCATTTGGTTGTTTCAACTTCTCTTCAGTGTTACGTGTTTTCGTAAGTAAAATAAATTCTTGAAGCTGTCTCAAGTTTAACAGGTGTAAGGAGTAGCAGAAACATTGTTTAGAGTACTGTAGTTAATTTTTTAATTTTTTAATTTTTAGCTAATTGAGATACTCTATGGAACCTAGCATCGTCTACAGCAAACTGTTGGAGTATTGTTGCCCTCACCCTGTCATCTTTTCAGCTTCTTGCTGGTGCTATGCCTGCCTGTTCGTTTGGCTACAAAAATTTGGCAGCCTTTCTTTTTATGTAGAGGCAGCAGGAATAGTGGCTGGGTGTATCTGTGCCTCCATCTACGGACTCCTTTTTTTCAGTATTGCTTCTGGCATGCAGTTATTTTGGAACAGAATAGGAAGGATTCAATCCTGCATCACATTTTAAGAACATGATACTCTTTCATATGCTGATATTTAAACTTTACTCCTAAAGTCATTTACCTCTTCAATGTCATGACTAATGCTAAACAGTAACACAGCCTGTAATAGAGCACACAGGAGAGGGGCTCTTTCTTACCTCCAGATGACTGTAAAAGAGTTGAACCACAATTCAGAAATATTTAAAAAACACATTTGTAAGTATGATTTTGCTGCTTACTAAGACTTCTAGGTTAGCCGCTGGTAGTGTGAAGGGGTGCAAACATGAAAGCAGAAGTGTTACTGGATCATACTGCATAGTTGTCAGTGTTACTTGGCTTCCCAAATGCTATTTTCCTTTTGAAGACCTCCCTTTTTAGGAATGTTAGATGATTAAAATGTGTATGTTTTACTTAGCAAATTCAACTTTGTATTTTCAATAATATGTGAAGATGAACAGTCTTAATGAATGATGAGTTTATTTTTTCAGTGTAAAGAACTGGAATACACCACTGATCTTTGACCTGAAGGAAGGAACAGTTAGTTTGATTCTACAAGCAGAAAGGTAGCTACATTATTGTAATGCTCACTATTAGATGTGCATGTGCGTTTCCTCAAACTTTGCTCTGTAACATAAGCACATATTGAAATACTAGAAATAGGTGTAAAGTATACAGTATTTTTAGGTAGCATGTGAAGGCTTAGCTGGTATATTTGCCATAGGTCTGTGATGTTGGTAATGAATCTTCCGTATGTTATGTATGTTTATATTCTCATTTACAGGAGAAAGTATATTTTCTGACATTGTGCTAACATCTGGGGGGGGGGGGGTATGTTCTATATTACTTTTTTAGCTGGAATATATTTTATATAAATTATCTTTTGTCTCCAGTTTTTATTAAAAACATGCCAGGTATGCCAGATAAAAAGAAAAAAATTTTTTTTACATATTTGTATTTGCAAGAAATTACTATTTTTTCTCAGTTTAAGAAAACTTTCATCTGTAATACCTGAAAATCATTTGTCAAAGAGATCTTCAGGTGTGCTTTTATAGAAGGTCTTTCAAAGCGTTAAGAGCAGAAGTAAAAAATCTTGAGTTTTTGTTATAGTATTCATTCTCATGGACAAGTACTGTTGGACAACTATTTCAGAACATGGCAGCACAATGCTCACTGCATTTTTGAGTCAAGCACTTATGTCCTAGCCTGCAGTATTGCAGTGGAGAACAGGTAAACAAGTAGACAGGATTTTGAAGATCAGTTTCTAGATTTGGAATTTTGCACTGCCAAAAGTAAATTGTGAAAACCTGGCACATATTCTTCAGCAGTGAAAGTGATCCACAGAATTGAAGCTATGGTTTTGGTGAAACCAGTCAGCCTCGACAGTTACATGTACAGACAATGGTTTGTTAGAAGTGTCTTCTATTTGCTTTACATTATAATGTAGACATACTAAGGAAAATAATACAGGTAATACTATTTCAAAGCTAGCTGTTAACCATTAAAGTTGTTTCTAGCATATATACACACACAGAGTGTTATCTCATGGGGTGATGTATGGGGAGTACTGTCTGCAGCTTTATGCTTTGTCATCAGGAGTTAGAAGATTTAAATTGTATAATACCTATAACAGATAAAATCATAGTGATTCCAGGTAGTCAGCATTTCTCATGGAAAAAGACCATGTTCACATTAAAATGAAATCTTCCATAAAAAGCTTTTAGTATATCAGGTTTGAAATGTAAGGCTTAGAAGTTATGTAGCTTAACTCAAAGCAGTTGCAGGATATTAGACAGTTGCTTTCTACTTGTTGAAACTGTCATCATGCTCTTCTGTATTACTTAATGATTTACCTTTTTGTTGGGGTTTTATTTGTAGGCATTTTCTTCTTGTAGATGGTGGAGGACTTTATTTATATTCATATGAAGGAAGATTAATTTCCTCTCCAAAATATCCAGGAATGAGAACAGACATTTTAAATGCCCAGACAGTATCTCTGAGTAATGATACTCTAGCAGTAAAAGACAAAGCTGATGAAAAAGGTAAGTTCTCTGTTCTGATAGTTTCATGTTTACTAATAATTCGGTATGAGATTTTCAGCATCTTCACATGTAACTTTACTTAGCATACTAATGCGGGGAAAAAAATGAAGCATAAACGATTTATTTGTGATATAAATTAAATAGTTATAAAAATGAATTAAAATGATGAGTCTTGCTTAACAGTGATTAAGAAACTTAGAGAATGATTGATATGTCTGTGAATTTCCAGTTGTGTGTAATGAATCAAAGAACAGTTTGCAGTAAATACTTGAACAGTAGGTTTTCGCTCTCTGATGTGGTTTTCTAAAGAAGTACTTCAGCAACTTTTTCTGCTTGACTCCTGCTCTTAGAAACTTCCAATACAGTAATTGTGGTTAATTTTAGTTTTCAGATGTTCTTTAGCTTTTTTGGGAGCTGTATTTTTACAGCATGGAAGTTTTATATGCAGCTGATATGACCGTAGTTAGGAGTCTGCAATGTTCTGTCTCAGTGTTGTGTTCTTGAATACTTTTGTGCTTGAATTTTGTGTTTTGGCATCAGAACCCTGTAATTTTAAAACAAAACAAGGTCAAATGAGCTTCAGGTAGGTTTTGACATTAACAAGTGGTACAGGAATATCTTTTTGTCAGTCAGCGTTTTTCCTTTTCTCTATGCCTTGAGGCAAATGTGTAGATTTGCTAGTGCAACAATTTAAATTTTGAGTGTCTGGAAGAGACAGACTCTTCCATTGCTGGAAAACTCATGGCACTATGACTTTTGACTCCCTAACTATGCCATTTATAGACTGTACAGATATGACAGTGCAAGGCGGCAGTGCTATCTGTAGCTGCATTTCTCCTGCGATACAGCCAGTAAGGAGATTACTGGTCGGAGCAACTGTTTGCGGGAGGTGCTGTTATTGCAGAGTGAAACAGTGAAAACTTCCTGCCTGTGGTTCCAACTGACACTAACTCAATCTACTGTCTATCTGTAACTGCTCTCCTAGACTTAATGATTAGATTTTAAACATTCAGAATTTTAGAATACTTTGTTTTGCAGCAAAGAACCGCCATATTTATCTACTTTTTGCTATAGAGAAAAATCTTTCAGTGTGAACTACAAAAGAAGATCCCTGGCAGGGAGTTAGTCCTTTAGCACTGATTACTTAGTTGTTTTCTCAACATTTAACCTGCAAGGTAAACTACTTGGTGAATGAATAAAACCTTTCTAACAATCCGTTAAAATATTCCTGCCCAAGCAAGTGAAAAATGAGGTGGGGTTTTTCTCCCTTCCATATTACAAAGCATTTTAGCTATTCCATATAACTTTAATTCTTTTTCTTGTATATCCTTATCTTCTGTGTGAGGATACTTTAACTATTTTTAAAGGCAGTATGTATTTTTAAAATAATTGTTTAGAAGTAGTAATATAACTGTAATGTGTATTCTATTGTTAAGGAAAATTACTTCAGAAAAATACTATTCTCAAGCACCAAGACATAAAAGCTGTAATAACTAGAATGGATTTTAATCAGCAAAAATATATTTCAGTGTAAATTACTGAGCAAAAAAGCGCAATAGTTTACAAAAGAAGGTTAAGTGATAAACTGTATTTTATTTCTGATCTTGTTTTACTCTGTGTGTCTATATTAGGGTGCATGTATGTATATGACTTAATACACATAATACAGAGACTTTGTTTTATTGTTGTATGGACACCTTGAGGCAGTCAGAATAAAAACAATAGAAGTATTTTAAATAAATTAAGGTTATAGATAAAATTAATCTGTAAGTGTTAACTGCTGTCTGTGTGCATGCATATTTAAGATTGTGATAATAAACTCACTCACTTGCCCCTTTCTCCTGCCCATTTTCCTGAACAGACTGAAAAGCATCTCCATCTCCCAACCATTCCTATGAGTGTCCTAAAAATCACGTCAGCTGGTTTTATACGCAGGCTAATCTTCACCAAGCCTGTGATTTAGAGAGGCAGGGTTTCTGGCTATGTTTTCCAGTTGAGCTCTCCAAATGATCCTGTTGACAGCAGCTTCCATCAGGGCAATGAGTAGGGGTGGGTTTTTGTTTTTTTTTAGATGTGAGCCCCACTAATAGTGATAAAATACCTTATGATATGCTAGCACATGGGAAAAAAGATGCTTGGCAAAGGAAGCTATGGCTTATCTATGCCTGTTTATTCTTCTCAATTCGCTCCAGCAGAAACATTTTTTTTCCTTTGCCCTATTTTGAGGGCATAATGTGCTGCGTTATAGAAGTATCTATAATAGCTCAGTTTGAAAAAGGAAGCAGTTTATGCATTGTGGTATGGAGCTCTCTACAAGCTAATTTACTGTTGAAACAAGGAGATATATGACTTGCTGTGCTTCAGTGTTGTTACCTGGATATTCTTCCTCTTTTATTAAAAAAAACCCACAAAACTGGTACCTCTGTGCTTACAGCCCTTCAATCTCTAATGAAGCTGAAGAGGGAGGTGAGCCTGTTCTCAAAAGGGGTCTGGTAACCTTGCGAGTGGTTATTCCATGATGTTAGAACATGTGTTTGAAGACACGCAGTAACTGTTCTCTTTCTCTGAATGTTCAAAGTGAGAGAATGCCTTTTGTTTATATCTTTAATTTATACATTTAAAAAAGAGATATATTTTGGGTTCTAAATGATTGTAAAGTGATGTGGAGTTTTTCCAGATTTGGGAGAGCGGTGGGACGACACCAAAACAAAACCGAACACCAAACTTCTTTTCTGAAATATCTTAATAAACATTGTAGATTAATGAAAAATGTTACTTGTCAATTAGGTATAGTGGTTTTCTTTAAAACTCTTTTAATCTTACTTCGTACAGCTAGTATAGTAGCAGTAGAATTGGCTTGTATAATTAGATCAAAATAAATTTCATGCAGGGAGCTCTGCATAAAAGTGAGAAAAATAACGCTTCTCAGGAACAGCTAGTTTTCTTTCATATATTTAGCCTGCTGCCAAGACCAACATGTGTGCAAAACCCTTTCTTTTCTTCCTCTGCAAACTCAACCCATGCTTTCTGAGCACCTGCTTTTACAGGTTTGTTGGGTTTTCTTGGTTTGTTTGGTTTTTTTTTTGACCTCAAACAAACATCCTGCATCCTGGTGAAAGATGCACAGCAGCATTAACGTGTTAACATCGCCATCCTTTGGAATGATGGTGTATATTCATCCTATATTGTATACTTACAGGTAATGTGTTGAAACTACAGGTGAGAAGCATTATTGAACAGCTGAAATGTTTCTGTCACATCAGTGTTTTCTAGGAACTAGCATGGAATCATGTGCTTTAAGTTACAGCTGATGTTCCTCATAATGTTACTGTAGGTTTAGATACATCTGTCTGAATTTTTGTGTATATTATTTGCAGACTATTTATAAAGTATGTATGGATGTGTGTGCATCACGTGTGTGTATGTATACATATAGACTGAAACACAGAGAAACTATTTTTAGACAATTTGCAAATATGAGTCTTCACTGCATATCTCAGAAATACAGATGATGATGGTTTTGGGGGTGTTGAGAAGATTTTTTTCTGAGGGTGGGACAGCAAAAGAGTGAAACAAATGCAAAATCAAATAATAAGATTCAAGTATATCTAGGTAAAGTAAATACTTTTTGAGGAAGCCAGTTGTAAATTTATTAATGACAAGCAGAAACCCTAAACTGTCCTGGAAGAAAATAGGCCTAGGAATCACAGAATTAAAAATAAAAAATAGAGCAATTATTAACAAAATACAGAATTCTTCTGAAGAATGTTTTTCTCAGTAGTTCAAAGGACATCTTTCTATATATTTGATTCTAATTCCTGTAGGAAAATGTATCAGTTAATGGTATTGTTTCCTCAACTTACATGCTAATCAAAGTTGTGGGTTAAGATTGAGTAAATCTGTCAGCCTTGGTAACATTAATTTATTCAGAATGAAGAGATAGAACTCTTGCATCAGATAGAACTTAGTATCATTTCTGTAAATAACCATTTGAGCTGTGACAGGAAGTAAAACCTTAGTTTTCTCAATTCTTTCAGTCCATAATCTTATATTTCAATGGCTATCTATGCTCTGAAAATAATATTTGAGGATTTTCTCAGGTCAGTCTGATTGCAAAATGAGACTGTCCCTAAGCTCAGCAGACTATGGTGGTTACATTTTCCCCAAAGTAATAGTCTTTTTTCACCAGAGTATGAAAGTCACTGGTAAATCTAGCACACACTTGGCGGTAAATGATGCTCTATAAAGGAAAAGAACTGCTTGAAAACATCTATTAAGAACTGTTGCTTTTAACTAATAAACCATATAATTTTTTTTCTTCAGTTATCTACGTATTTGAAGCTTTATCTGGAAAGCCATTGGGTGATGGAAAGCCTCTAACCCATAAGGTAAGGTGAAGGATATAATGTGTCTTTTTAATTATATTTTGAAATTAAGAATCAATAGTGGGTTTCCCCAGTAATGGGTCTAATAAGCTATTAAAGGTTTACAGTCTGAATAGAAAGGAGCTTGACAACTCTAGCTGACTCTTATATAATAAAAAAAAACCCAAATTCTTCATGCAGCATTGATGTACAAAGGGACATACTATAAGTTGTGTTCAGTTACTGGCATGTTTCCTGTGCACATAAGAGTTTGAAACTACAGGTAAATTGTTTTGTTATGCACTAAAACTGATCAACTGAATTTCCTGTGCATGTACTCCAACTTTTATCAGCGCTGACCTGTTGTCAATACTGAAGAAAAGAAAAAGAACATCAGAGAAGTCTGTCTTCAGTCCGAGCTTTTACAGATTTTACTTAAAATAAAAATTGTTGCCTGAACTGCATTTTACTTTTCTTCACTCCCCTGCTATCCAAAAAAAGCAAAATTAGTCAGCATATTTTTAAGAGAGAAAGCATCTTTTAGGCAGCTTTTGCTTTGAGAATGCCACCTGTATTTCTGTAGTTTTGTAGTAAATTCCTGAACTGCTCTGTTGCAGTTTTGGTTTAATCTGCATGAAATTCATTTATAGAATGCCTCATACAAACAGAGAATACACAGTGTCTTCATGGTCCAGTTTTTCAAGAGTTTTGTGCCTTGGTCTTTAGTAAAGCATTCATTCGTTTGTATATCACATGCTTGCTGGGATACAAATATTCAAACTAAAACTCAAGATATTTTCTTTTTCCTTTTCAGACAGAAATTGTAGAGATAGCTTTAGACCAGAAAGGACTTACAAGTGAAAGAAAAATAGCTTTTATTGATAAGAACAGAGATCTTTACATTACTTCAGTTAAACGGTTTGGAAAAGAACAGAAGATTGTCAAAATAGGTAAGAAAAATTCAAAATAATGTTTAAGTACAAGCTGTCAGGAAAATAGATTTTTTTTTTAGTAAAGTAGTCAAAATTTTTATTTTAATCATAAAATTGGACTTGAAATATTAGAAATAGTCCTGTGGCTTTCATAAGATAGTGACAGAAACCACTTTAGTACATTTTATCTAAGTCCTGATAATTTTTATATCAGTTACATGTAAGGTGCTGGTTGTTGCATTCCAGAGCAAGCAGCTAAAAGGATATGGGAGAAGGATGTATTCCTCAGAATTATTCAATACAGAATTTTTCAGTCATTTTTCTTGCAAATGCAGAACTCTGAAGTTCATAATATTTTTAATTAAAAGTTGAAATGCCGTAAACGGGTGCCTGATCCAGTAAGTGCGAAGGTGCAGTCTGACCATTGAGTTAATTTTTATTTCAAGTCTTACAATTAAGTGCAGAAAACTTTATTATGAAAAGAACTTTCAGAAAGAGAAGTGAATTTGGCTGAAGGTTTGTAAGAGGTTACCTTACAAACTAGGTGGTGAAAAACAGTCCTTATAAAAGGTCCTAAACCCAAACAATAATTATGCTTTTAGTACAGTATGAGAAGTGTCCCTTGGTTTTGAATTTTCTTGTGGAAATGCGTATTATTCTGTTATCTTTAAGGGACAATGGTTCAAACTTTGGCTTGGAATGACACATCTAACATTCTTTGTGGGATTCAAGATACGCGTTTTACAGTCTGGTACTACCCCAACACAGTCTATGTAGATAAAGATCTTTTGCCAAAAACTCTGTATGAAAATGAGGCAAGGTAATATATCCTTTTTGATCAAAGTCATAGTAGTATATATTTTAGCTTTTTTACTCATTCTTTAAAAAAATTATGTTAATTTTGGCAATTAAAGTAGAAACTAGTGTGCAACTTTAAAAATTCTTTTCATATTACTATTTATGATTAGGAAATTAGGAAGAAGTGTTTTATAGGGTATATCATAAAGTTTGGAGTTGAAATGACGATACACAGTTTAAGAGTACAATAACATCTTGATGCAAAAGCAAAAATAATCATGTCTCATGAAATATTGCTTTAGTAGTTTGTATAAAAAATAGAAAAGATCTGTTTAAAGTATTGAGATACTGGGTCACAGATAATATTATTTCCAGTTCAGCATGTTTACTTTACATGTTTACTTCAGCCTGTATGCATTGTGAAATTCTTCATGAAGACTACCTGAATTAATTATATCCTCCTAAGAGTGATGAGAGCCCAAGTATTTTTTACTGGAAAATGTATTTGAAAATTGTTTCACATATACCCAGCTGGCATTTGCCTTACAGCCATTGAATGTGGTTAACTATAACTTTATTCCTAGAGAACATTACAACTGCCTGTTGGATTCAACTGTTAAATAACTAGGTGGTTAGATTCTTACATACTCTGAAAATGAAGTATAATCATGTTGTTATTTTGAAACAAAGATTTCTCTAAATTCTTAATAGTATTTTCAGTAAGAAAGAAGTGAATATTAACTTACCTTTCTTTCTCTACCCAGAGAATTTAGCAAAAATCCCCAGATTGTACATTTTATAGGAAATCTGATAACAATTAGAAGAGCAGATGGTTCACTTATTCACCTTAATATTTCGCCTTATCCTGCGATTCTTCATGAATATGTTAGTAGTTCTAAATGGGAAGATGCTGTTAGACTGTGTCGCTTTGCAAAGGTAATCCTAATTCTTTGGAATGTTCAGATGTAATTTCACTGTAATATTTATGTTTTCCGGTATTACTTTAATAATGATAATTGCATATCAGATGTTACATCTCATCTCCATTCTTGTGCTCTGTTGCTGATTATTTGGGGGTTGGTGATGAAAAATTGTATTTTTCATATTTATGTCATATAACATAGACAATTTTGCAAATTTTGCTCTACATAATAAAAATTCTTATTTTTATTCATAACAGAGTCCAGATTGATTGAACACAGGTACACAGAGAAGTTGGTAATAAGCTTAGATTTTCAGGACTAGGCTTTAATATAACTGATTAAAAATTATCTGCATCTCCACAGTTGCCTTGTATTTTTTCATATTTTTATTTCACTTGGTTTTGTTTTGTTTTCCTTTGCTTGCTTTTGTATGTATCTAGGCAACAGCAAGAGATGAGGTGAGTCTGGCAGTCTTTTAAACAGGCAAACAAAAATCCCCCCACAACCCTGCTTCCTTTCCACCTTTTACTTCTAGAAAAGAGTTTAGCACTTTCATGTGATTATCATAACCTTAAATATGTATTTCATATATTTTTGTATTTGCGTTATTAAATCAATACAGATCCCAATAACTTGGATTGTATAATGACTTTTGAGTGGTACTCAAAATAGGTTTTTATTCCAGTATTGGGCAGTGGGTACTGGGATTTCGAATTTCAGCTACAGCATTATGTCAACTTTTTTGAGTTATCTAAATTCATCATCTTCAAAAATAAAATGTCTCTGTCAGGTGGCAATATACAGTTCAAAGTATTTCCAGTAAGTAACAAGAAAACAGACTATCTGAGGAAAGAGGGAATAACAAGAATTGCTAGTGAAAAATTTCTAGAAAATTTGTCAGGCTGAACTTTCAGCATTTTACTACCTTATTTTCTAAATAATACAGAAGTGGGAAGAGAAGCATGATGATATTATGAGCATCATTAATGAGCATCTCTGAACAATGTTAGTTCTCCCTAATTACAGGCTACCAGCAGGAAGATTTATATTACCCTGAATCATGGTAAAGAGTAGGAAAACACGGCCAGAGAAGGAGCACAGGCAGAGACGGTGATAGTGAAACCACAGCCTTGGGCTAAATTACTGTATGTCATTAGCTTCAGTGGGTCTTATCAGTTTTGTTTCATACAAAAGCGATTGTGAGACAGGGCATGGGAGTATGTTTTTAGACCATACTCAGTGTAGCTGTGTATTCTGATTTAGATCAATAGTAATCCTATGCTGCCTCTAAAAACCAATTCACATTGCAAAGTGTTTATTTTCAAATTTGTTATTGACCATAGCAAGGTTGCAATATTATTATTACTACTGATTTTTCCTAATTCTTAATTCTAAATATAAAATGTACTGAAAATAGTAAAGGAGACAGAACTTTTGAAGCTCTTAACAGCCTCATCAGGTTAATTGTTCTACCCTTACGCAATTATTTTCTTTTCACTTTCATTTGTAGTATGTTTATAAGTTATTATCAGCATCCATGGTTCCGTGGTTAGCCAGGTTAAAATAATTTTTCTAACTACAGCCACTGCTTTGGTTTCCAGCATAGTTCCACAAGTAGTGACAGCGAAACCGATGATGAGGTGATAGAGTGATACTATGCAAGAGTTCGTTACTGGCTGAGATGCTAAAAGCTAAGGATTCATTTAGCCACACTGGCAGTCTCAGCTGCTCACAACATCAGTGCTTTTGTAATGAAGGAGTTCTGAGAAATAACTAAGTAGCGAGTTTCTAATACGAGGCTTAGATCAAAAAATGCCGAAAATCTCACACTGAGAAATGTTGTATTGTTATAATTATTTTAGGACTTGTATACTTCCTGTGAGAAGTATTTTTAGCACAGTAATAAATATTTTAGGAGTTTTAGGAGTTGCATTTCTGTTAAAATTCCAGGATCAAACTATGTGGACATGTTTAGCAGCTATGGCAGTTGCCAACAAAGAGATGGCTACAGCAGAAGTCGCCTATGCATCAATTGGTAAGGTAAGAAAAAGGACTTATTTATTTCCAGTTAAATTGTTGTAAATCTAATTTTAATAATTACTTTCTCTTATTAAATTATTGTACCTCTCATTAACAGATTGACAAAGTTCTGTATATCAATTCCATCAAAGATCTGCCATCAAAAGAATCCAGGATGGCTCATATGCTGCTCTTCAGTGGAAACAGCCAAGAAGCTGAAACCCTGCTTCTTCAGACAGGCCTTATTTATCAAGCTATTCAAGTCAACATTAATCTTTATAATTGGGATAGGTAGTATTTCTTCAAACACAGTATGTTTATAAGCAGTCTTACTGAGGTGACTGTAAATTATTCAAGACACTTGCTTTATTGCAGATACTTAGCTGACTAATTTCTTATTTGTAATTGCCCAGAGCTGTAAAAGGATGGATTAAATCATATGCTGATAATAACCAGTGAAGTAACTTTCCGTCATATTTAGAAGATACGAGTATTCTGTGATTAAAGTCCAAAGCATGCTTGGAAGTATTTTTAAATAACATTTTGCTTTTTCATTATTGTTAACACAGAAACGTCTTTAGTGATACCTCAAGCTGTATGTGACCCTCAAAGAATTAAGGCTATTTTGAAATGTCTTGTTGCTAAAAATAGATACGTGGCTATTCAGACTCCCAGCACTGTGTAGGTGGATGAAGTATGAATTAGGCCTGAAAAAGCAAAGTAGGAATTTCTCCTTTAAACAAAACCGCACATTTTCTAACAGAATCTTCTGAGGCCATTTACTACTAATTTCTCTGCTATTATATTTTTATCTTTGTGGACAAAAAGTTGTGGGTTTTTTTCTCCTACATAACTGTTTTTTTATTATGTTGCCTAATATGTATCATCTAAAAACTGTACAGATCAATCACAGAATCATAGAATGAATCACAGAATAGTTTGGGTTCGAAAGGACCATAAGATCATCTAGTTCCACCCCCCCTGCCATGGGCAGGAATGCCTCACACCAAGTATTCCTTATGCCATTGAGAACAAAGCAGATGGGAGAGTGTTCAATTATGCTAATCCAATAGCTAATCTGTACCGCTTACTGAATATTCATAAATGCTGTGTAGCATACACCATAGATATGTACTATGACTCTGTTCAGAAGCGATTCCTGACTGTAATGAAATTATTAAAAATTGTTACTTTTGCCCCTTTATATTGAGAGTGCTGAACTCTAACTATTCTGGTTTATTTTCTTGAACTAAAAAGACTCCTATTGTCAAATTCTGATGATACGATGAGGTTGTCAACAGAAATAGTTGCTAGCTATTTTTCACAGTATGTATCATAAAGTAGATGGTCTCCTTCACTGGCTACTTTTATTAATCTCCTGTGACTGATACTAATGTAAAACTACTTGACACTATAGATTAGAAATCTTTGCCTGCAGCTCAAACACTTTTCAGCGTATTGTTTTGCAAAACCATGGTGATTGTAGTTGCGCCAGAGCATTTATATAGCCTGACAAACCCATTTCTGTTTTATTCCAGGGCCCTAGAACTAGCAGTAAAGCACAAGACACATGTTGACACAGTCCTGGCTTATCGACAAAAGTTCCTGGAGGACTTTGGTAGGAAAGAAACAAACAAAAGATTTTTGCAATACGCAGAAGATGTAAGTATTCCTCAGAATTATTCTCGCAGCTTTAGGTCAGTCTGTTCTCTGTAGCTGGTTTGGGACAGTGGGGGAAATTGTTCTGATATTTTTTTTCCCTTGGTTCAAATGTGGGTACAAATCTTAAGATTTTGCATCTGAGTACAAGTCCATAGCTTGATGTGTGGCTACTTGGCTAGCATTAGCTGTGCATGTATTTTATTTGAAGGCACAAATATGGTATGTATATATTTAGTAAATGGCAAGAATTACATAAACGAAGGCATAGTTCTTTCCTGTGAACAGGGAGGTAGACAGGCAGGTTGAATGTGTACCTCTAAAATGTCTTCAGTATTTTAACGTATTTTTATGGATAGTAGCAATAACAAACTTTGAAGATATCCATATATACATATTAAGAGTGAGCTATGAATTGTTCTGCCAAGTATGATAAATAGCTAAATATACAATTTCATCCAACCTCTGGAAACCATCTCCATCATCAGTAGGTCATTTTCATTTACTAGCATTTCACAGATCTTAAAGACTGAGGACAGATCTTAATAGTTCATAAGACAGAAGTAGCTTAGATTCTGCTCAAGTACTTCTGCACATTTTCTTTATGAGAGGCATCCACATGTGCACCTTAGACAGCAATTCCATTGGGTAGCCCTTACATCCTTCCTGCTCTTCCCCTTGCTCTGTTGCTAAGCGTTCTTAGGGTGAAGCTAATGAAGAGAGATGTGTACTTTGACTGTCTCAGATCTTTGCATCCCGCTGATGAATGAAGAAATACATCAGAGCTGTTAGCTGAGATCATTTAATTGGACAGTGCCTATTACACTTTCAGTAAAGCTTAATATCTAATGTAAGTCATTAGATGTTAGCAAGTCCAAGGATGTTTCATTTCCTAAACAAGAATAAAAGTCTGCACAATATCTAGCTCTGCAATGAACCATTCTGCAGTACTTTACCTAGAAAATACAGGAAAATAGCAGAACAGATTGCAAGCACTCTTACTATGGAGCAGTTTTGACTGCTATACTGGAAGTATGTCTTCTACATAGTTTAAATCCAATATTGAGAAAAAATGATGTTAATCCCCTGATGCTTCTGAAAGAGACTTTGTAGATAATACTGTCTTATCTTGGAATCATCAAGAAAGCCATGGTTTCTGGAAGGTTTCCTTAGCAATAACACCTTGTCAGTGACAAATTGTGAGCAGTGGAGCTTGTTTCATCTCACACTCAGTCTTGAAACTTGGTCTTGAACTGCAGAATGTTCCTGGATCTATGTTCTTGGAGGTTTTGTTGTCTGGATCTGAAACTAGGATGTGACCTGCTTAATAAAGTGGATTTTAAAGCTCTTGGCTACAGTGGTAACTAAATTCTTAATGCAGCCTGTCAGACTGGTATAGCAAAGGTAGTAGGAAATGTGAAGAGCATTGAAGAGAAAAGCAAGATTTGGTGCCGCTGTTCCTTCTCAGGGAAAAAGAGAGGTCTCAGTTTTCCTTGCACCACCTAAAGTTCCTTGAGGCTTAAGTAAGGAGTTTTTACCTCATTTCTGTACTGTAGCTGAAAGCACTGACCTGCGATCAGATACAGAATCTAAACAATGTGCTTCATTGTTATATCTCACGTCTTTATATATGAAGTATTATGAGTGTAATTTATATACAGAGAATCCATATCTTGGCAGTTGCTAGACGTCACTGGCAGGGGTTGTTGGCTTCACTGGCAAGTAGCTCTCAGGGCTGGATGGCAGGATTAGCCCTATATGTGGTATGTTCAGCATCTGTGTGACTTCTGTTAAAGCAAACACATTAATTTTTAGAGTGCCATAAAGATTTCAGTCATCAGATCCAAAGCATCTGGACTCAGTAAATGCATCCTGAATTGACCTTTTCACATGAGAATGTGGGGATTGCAGTTACATATTTCCTCATAGAGAAACTTCCCTTTTATTTCATGACTTAGTTAACAGTGTAGCAACTACCCTGAAAATTCCCTGTGCAGCAGCTGAGATTCTTTTCCCATCCCATCTTTGAAAGTCTAAAGTCTCCAGCAATGAAACTGAAGTTTGCAACTACTTTGTTGCCCAGTTTTGGTTTTATTTTTATAGTCATCAAATGCACCATGATCCATTCTTGTCAAGCACTTTTGGAAAGAAAGATTACTGTTGTACCCCACTGTACTGGAGATACTGTACTATATCGATTGTCTAAAGTTTCACTGAAATATAATACAACCAGAAGATGACAATTTTCTGCAGCTGGAGAAATGCCAAGATACAGCTAAAACATTTATTGATGTAGAAGACAAATTTAAAGCAGAAATCTGATTTCTGTTATATCAGATAACTAGTGTAATATGCTATCAGTTTACTTGGTGGACTTCCGGTGCAGTCAAAAGGCACCGCCGCATGTATTATTGATAAAGGGCTATATCCTCAGTAATAGGACACAGATGTCATTATATTTAAATTAGATACAAGTTGATTGAAGTTCTTTTTTGCATTTTAATGGAGGGTTTTTGCCAGACACAATGAGATGTATTAGTATTTGTTCAAGTATGTCAAGCTTGTTTTATTTTAACGGGGAAAGCTCAGTTTGTTAGAACTCAGCTGTGCATTCATACATTAATATCCATTTGTATAAGTTGTCACTTATATGTGAAGAACTATATGATTGGTACGGTCACTTTGTCATTATAACTTACAATTGTCCTGTTAATGTATCCGTTTGACCTCTCTGTATATGTTAGTTGACCTCTGCGTACTCACTTTTCTGTTCTTACAGCTGGAAGTTGATTGGAATAAAATCAAAGCCAAAATAGAGATGGAAATTGCTAAAGAAAGAGAACGAGCAGCAGCCAGTCCTGCGGTGAGAGCTAGTGTAACTGTACAGCAATAACTGCCCTTTTGGTCACCTTCATAAGTGCTTCTCGAATATATTGTACTGGCATATTTTTCCAAACATTAAAAAGCCACAGCAGAAGTTTTCTGGGGAACAGGAGTGAGAATCAATGTAGTTCTTGTTAACTGTTGTAAGGCAGGCAGAATTATTTACTTACTACAGTCTCATTTTGAGCAGGGTTTTTGTTCTAATGCTCTAGGGAGTAGCTATGCTGTAGTCCACAATACATGTATGAGAAAAAAGGGAAATTGACTGTCTTTCTGTTAGTGGCTTTTAAATTTAATTGTCACTAAAATTATTTAACCTTGGTTGCCTCTAATTTAAATACCTATTTTCCTTTCTAAGCACCTAGTTGAGTAGTTTGGTTATTTCTGCAACCTCAGGGACCTCTGAAAAGACTTGTTTAAATTGCCCCAAAACAAATTCAGCGAGCTGTCAGTGTTGAAAATTAAAACAGCTTGCACCTATAAAGTACAAAAGAATATTTTATTCATGGTTGGGGTACTACATATTTCTGCTAGTATGTATGTATGAGCAAGTTCTTTAATAGATCTTTTTATTACTTCAGCAACTAAGGTTTGTCACTAGCAAGCTATCAATAAATGATATTTTCTGAGATAAATTGTTTAAAATACTATGCAATGTGCTTTGAATGTTGCCTGAAGTTAACAGCCAGCATTGTTGGTTGGTTTTGTAGTGTCCAACACATATAATTGGCAGTGTTATTGGAAGCTTCCTTAAGGTTCATATATCATACTAATTTCAAATAAAGAAGAGCTTTCTATTTATTTTTTTCTGCCCAAAGCACTTGATTTGAAAAAACTGTTTTTACATTTGTGTTATTTCATCAAGATATATTTTTGATTTACATATGAAAGTGGCTGCATATGTTAGATGTTATTTGCAGAAGCCCTTTGCATTACAAATATGTGAGCAGGTTTTTCATAATTGACATTGTATCTTTTCAAATGTTGCCATCCAAATGTTAAATATCTGTATATCTGTCAATTTTTTTCTGGTTTGTGAATTATTATGTGACACTGCTTTCATAGTTCACAAAATTCTTAATAAAAACAAGTTTTTTTAAAATATGTATCTAATACATGATGCATTAGGTGATCTGCATTGATTTATTTGACTGCTAAATAAAACAACATTTTTGATGTAGCTCATCCGAAGCTCTACAGTATTCTGGTGTACTGACACATGGCAAAGTGAACACCTTCACCTTCCATTGACTTGCAGAAAGCATTTACTAGTTCCAGAATTGAGTTCAAAATATCACTAATGGCAAGTGTCTAATGTTAAATTTATGATGCCTGGCTCAGATGCAACATAGTGCAACAAAAGCAGGTTTTGAAGACTGGTCTAGTGGTAGTACAAAGTCAGGGTTTCAGCTCAGTCTTGCTCTTTTACTCTTGGACCAGTTGGAAGTACAGCAGAGACAGCAAATTCACTCAGCTTCTTAAAAATGCCTGGTGCAACAACTAACTGTTGCATAGACTGAGATAAAACAGAGGAATGGGTGCCACACTTACCACACTGACTGCTGTTCAGGCTGATGTCAGTGTCATTCACAGAAAGTGATACATCAGGTTCTCCATATCTCAGTGGTGATGAGAAGTGCTGTATTTGTAGGTGGTGGGAAAGATTGTTTAGTTCCTAGGCCAAAACACAATAAAGACCTTACAGTATTTATCAATGGTCAGATCTATTTTATTTCCACGCATGTCCAGTCCTGAACTACATGCTATGCTGAGCATCTGTGTGTTAAATAGAAAACAAATCAAAACAAGCACTGGTTATTCTTTCTTTCATCAGGTTCTAATAAGCAGGTAACTTGGTGCAATTCCAACCTTTGTTATGAAATCTGAATTTTAGAATATTCTCAGAAGATAACGTTCATATGTGGCTTACTTGCAATTGTTGCAGCATTTTCACATACTGCACTTGCCATTCCAAGGAAAGTACCATCTGTCCAGTCCAAGGTAATTTTGTGCTAGTTTCTCTGGGGGTTTTAAAGTTCTGCATTGCGTTTGTCTGTGCCTGTTTTCAGGCATTTTCAATAGTTTGTTCAATGTCATCTATTTAAGTAAAAGTACCTGAAGGATACATTTATAACAAGCTGCAAAAAGCCTGTGTACCTGCTTCAGAGGGCCATCTTTGATGTATTCAGATAAGATTGGTGTATTAGCAAGTAGAAAGACAAAACTACTTTTACCCTACTTCTTATGCTTATATCATATTGCCTTTTTCCAAACCCTGATTTAAAACCTTTCAGAGCTGTAAATAAAATGGCTGTTCAGTTGCTGCTTGCATTATTGTCCAGTGCAAGAATACTGATTCTTCAATGATTTAAGTATACCTATTTTAAAAATAGCGCACTATTTAATTATTGACTGTTTAATTCAAAGCATCATAAACCAATTTAAGAATGGATTAATATGATTGAAATGTAATTGGTTTACATGCTGTTGTGATGGATCATTTATTCAAATATATTCAAATTTACCACAGCAGGATGGGTGTTGTAGTTTGCGAGCTTTGTTTGACCTTGACCACAGTTTGACCTGGTGTTAAGAAGGGAGATTTAAATGGAAATGTGAAAAATGTATCTTTAAGTGAGGTAAAAGTTGAGTGTTTAAAAGCCATAAATTAATTAGGAAAGCAATATACTGACAAAAAAAAAGTTGTGTGTATTAGGTAGCATTTCTGTCTTAAACTCTGCAAACATTGCATTTATCTCTCCTTGGGAAATGACATAAAAATACAGATTCCTTCACCACCCCTCATTCTAGACATGTAATGGGGACTAACCTAAATAATCCATTAAGGTAAGCCATACCCTTCCCTGCATTGGAGCACACCCATTTTTACTTCCCAGTCTTCATGCATTGTCCCTCATCTGCTGAGTTATGGACAGAGGTTGTTTCGGTTCCCTGTGGACAGTTCTATATTTATGAAGTCTAGCAGCCACCATACACTTCTAAGAGAAGTTACTGGTGGTTGCTAGTGGTGACTGCAATGAAGAACAGTGGAAAGACTGTTTTAGAAACATCCTCTTGAATTTGTGGGGAAAAAAAACCAATAATTTGAAATTGCTGCTTTAATCTTGCTTTACACCATGGTTTAACTGTGGTTTGCAACTATTCCAGGTAATGCAATTGGTTAAAGAAACATTCTTCATTTTTACCTCTAGCTTAATTTTTTTATGGTTTGCATATTTTTGATAGTTCAGAGGAAGAAGGAAAAATATTTTTTGTGTTTTGGTATTGAAGGCAATAAGACTTTGAGGTCTTCATTTGTCTGTGGGATTTTATCCTTTGGAAAACTATGAAGTTTTGAATTACCTGACATGAAAACTTAATTTTGCAGTATATATATAACCATTTTCTACTTCAGGAAAGTAATTGTTCATCTCTAAAAGATTCTGCATGTAAGATAACTCTGGGTATATCCAATTTGTAGAAGAGGACAGAAGTTGTGTCATAGAAGCATCTTTGAGGTAGATGAGAGGTAACAGCAGTTAAGGGGTCTGGGAGTTAACAGGCTTTGATTGTGGCTTTGCTGTGGCCTTTCACTGCCTCACTTCTTCCATCTGCAGATGGGAGTAATGTATTTCGCAATGTTGCAAAGTTTGGTTTTGGATTCTATGAAGTTAATGCACATAATGCAGTCAGACACTGGAAAGGCTGACGAGTCATAACTCTAAAGGTTTTCAAACCCCAAACCAATAAACAATAAATGTCATGGTGCTTGATGAAGATTCCCAGTGGTGTTATTCCCTTATCGACAGGTGAAGTCATCCCGTAGTCATCCGGCACACCTGTGCAAGCTGGCAACAGGACCAAGCCGTCTCTTCAGCTGAGCCCAGCACCTGTAAAGATACCATTTAGCTTTCAAAAAAAAAAATAACAGGGATTTTCATCATTTATAAAATAGAAGGCATCATTTTGGCAAGATGTTAATCTCAAGTTTTGCCAGAATGATGCCCTTCCTGCAGCTACAAGCTTTTGAGGCTTACAGGATTAATCAAGCAGCTTAACCATGACACAAGAAATTCACAGATATACCATTAAAGATTCTCCCAAATGAAAAGATTCTTCTGGGCTATATCAAAAGCAGTATGACCAGCCAGTTGAGGGAGGTGATTCTTCCCCTCTACTCCACTCTTGTGAGACCTGCCCTGCAGTGCTGCGTCCAGCTGTGCGGCCCCCAACACAAGAAGGATGTGGCCTGCTAACGTGTGTCTAGAGGAGGCCACGAAGATGATTCAAGCGCTGGAGCACCTCTTCTATGGAGACAGGCTGAGAGAGCTGGGGTTATTCAGTCTGGACAAGAGAAGGCTCCAGGGACAATTTAAAGAAGCCTCCCAGTGCCCAAAAAGGCCGATAAGGAACCTGGAGAGGGACATTTTACATGGGCACATAGGGATAGGACAAGGGGGAGTGGCTTTAAACTGACAGAGGGGAGATTTACTTTACACATCAGGAAGAAATTCTTTTCAGTGAGGATGATGAGGCAGTGGCACAGGTTGCCCAGAGAAGCTCTGGCTGCCCCATCCCTGGCAGTTTTCAAGGCCAGGTTGGACACAGCTTTGAGCAACCTGGTCCAGTGGAAGGTGTCATTGCCAGTGACGGGGGTGTTGGTGCTAGATGGTCTTTAAGGTCCCTTCCAAACCAAACCATTCTAGGATTCTGTGATAATCTATGCTATCTGCTGGGCTCAGCTGAAGAGGTATTGAAGAGCTAATGCCCATTTGCAAGGAGCTCATATCTGCTGCAGCCTTCCCACTTTAAACCTTAAATAAAATGTTGAGGTATGGAAAAATGAAAAGTACTTGGAAATGGGTGTAGTCTGCCTAGTGATGGATCCATGAAGAAAAACACTCATGCAGTGAGGACACTGCTTCTTAAAATAAACTAGGAGACTTCTACTTTCTGAGCTTTCATTAAGTGATTGGAGCATGCAAGCCTCCGACATATAAACCATTGCAAATTGTTGCTCTTCCAGGAATTACAGTTTTTGAGGGTTGACACATCTGCAATGAATGGTCAGTGAAGAACTCCATTGTTCATCGTTTTTTTCCAAAGCTGTCATGAGTCATCCTACTTTCATTCCAGATGATAATCAGTGGTTTTCCATATAAATTAACCAATCTGCATATTCATTTCTATTCAAAATAGAACATATAAAATTCTGTGTAAGTGCAAAATAGATACATGTCATGATTTTACCCCATTTCAATTATTGGTTGATTTATATTGATGACTGTGGGGATTAGATCTGCCAACTGTGTTTTTATCTTGCACATCCATGGAAGTAAGAATTTACAATAAAAAACCCAAGGCCAACTATTTCATAACCACAAGAGAGCATAAGTTCTATTTTACTTTGTGAATTAATATTGATATAGTCAATTGAAAAGAAGATTATAGGGTTGATATATCTAGAAACAAAGGCAAGGTCAAAGATACTTTGAAAAGAGTTAACCATGGAAGGAAAAATGGAGAAAATAGGCACTGCAGGATGTTAAATCCTTGATGACTGTGGCCAAGTCCTGGCAAAGGCATGTGCATGTGCTGCTCTTCATGGACTGTGTGTAATCCAGCTGGACTCACAGAGTCCTGTGCATAGGAGACTAAACCTTTCTCTCCTGGTATCCTCCTCTTTTTCCCCCAGGTTGGAAGCTTGTAGCATGCTGGATTTTGGCATTTCCTGTAAGGTACTAACCCTGCAGCTGACTGCATGTGGTTACAAAAGAGTCCACCAAGACCTGTGAGAACACCCACGGAACCAGGTTTCCACTAGTTTGCTTAAAAATGATTAAAATCACTGCAGAAGAAAATGCAAAATTCTGCTTGGTGAGCACAAAAGAGCCCAAGCAGGACTTAGCTGTTTGCCGCTGCTCTAAAAAGGGACAAATTTCATCTGCATTATAGCATGGTGTCCTAGGAAGCCAACTTGGCTTGATAAAGTTGTATTGTTTTCAGTTGCCTTGTTCACTTCAGAACAGTCAAAATAGTAAATAATCAATAATGGAAAAGCTAGAAGCTTTCTAAAACAAATGTCGTTCTTGATTATATCGCCTAGAGGTAGAGGGACAATTGGGAAAAAGCAATTTATTGATTTTTACATTTCCGGATTGATATTAAACACAGAAATCTTGAGACTTCCATTTCTTTATTTTTGTGACATCAGATATATCCCATGTCACATTAATTCAGCGGCTTCAATATCAGCTGTTTCATGACTCTGTAAATACAGTTGTGTTCTACTTGCTCATCTGAATATATATATGATTGGAATTGCAACGGATATAACATTACTTGTGGTTTTATGCAATCAGTGGGATATGCAGATGACTGTGCACTGAGCCCTGTGTTAATATAAAGAGAGCATGGCAATCATCTACCCAGGAGTTATCCTGAGTGTCTAGCTACTGTCTTCTCCTAGGACCAGCTCTTTGCCTTCCTCTAAAATCTGATGTACTAATGCATCCTCTGCACTGATATTTCACGCTGTATGGTATGGGGGAAAGTTGGGGAGAAGAAAAATTTTTACAAATTGGTTGTATGTAAAGATCTGTATTTCCAAAGTATATTTTATTCATGCAATTCAGTCAACATTTGCCCCATGCTATAAAATTCCGAATACTGAAATGCAAACTGATAGTTTTAATTCAAGTACCTTTGCCT